GATTCAAATAATAATCCATATAGTCAGTCTCCCGAATACTTTAGCCATCATAACTTTCCTTATGACAGTTTCTCTCCCAATGTTAACATTGGGTCATCACAAATCCCTTTTAGCCAGCAACATAGTCATGCTCCAACTCAATCTCAAGCCACACCAAGTGACCGTAGGGAGAGAAGGCAATGGAACAGCGCAGATGAGAGAAGGCAACGGAACAGCGCAGATGACTTAGTCTTGATCAACGGCTGGTTAAACACATACAAGGATGTCATTGTTGGCAATGAACAAAGGCCAAGGACCTTATGGAAAAGGATTGCAGACTACTATGCATCAAGTGATCATGTTATCAATGGTGGTGAAGCAAGGATGGCTGACCATTGCAAGCAAAGGTGGGGAAGAATTAGCTAGGACGTGAGCCATTTCTGTGGAGCATATGCATCTATAGAGGCTGAAAAAGCTAGTGGAATGAATGATGTAGACATTCTGAAGAATGCTCATCAATTCTACTTCAACCTTTACAAGAAGAAGTTTACCCTAGAGCATGCATGGACTGAGTTGAAAAATAAACATAAATGGTGCAGCCTTGGATTGATGAACCCTACTAGCAATACATCAAGCAAGAAAATAAAATGTGAGGATGCTGCATCATCTTCTGGATATGTTGTTGGTGAACAAGAGAGCAGACCTCCTGGTATAAAGGCAATGAAGTCCAAAAGGTGCAGAGGTAAAGAGAAGATTGCACCATCTGTAGAGTACCCAATCATCTGGGAAAACAAAAAAAAAGGATAATGAGGCCAAGAAAGAACTCCAAAAGATTTCCATTCTTGACACTCTCATTGCCAAGACACAACCACTTGATGAAGAGGAAGTAGCTCTTAAGAAGAAGTAGCTCTTAATAAGAAGCTGATGGTTGAACTGTTCTAACTAGCTTTGAAGTTTATTGTTCTAACTAGCTTTGAAGTTTAATTTATGTCTAAGTATTACCTTTTATTGTATCAGTTTCTGTCTAAGTATTATCTCTAACTAGCTTTGAAGCTTATTTGTCTAAGTATTATCTCTTATTGTATCAGTCTCTGTATGGTTGCTTATTAATATCAACTCTCTTGTTTGCTATATGAAATTGCTATGGATTCTGTATTATCTCTTATTATATCAACTTTCTTCCTGTTTTTTATATGATTGTGTATCAGTTTCTGTGAAATCTCTTAACTCTCTTCCTGTTTGTTTTCAAGTTAAGTATCAGATGGGACAAGATTATAGCTACTCTCAGCCTTCTTCTTCATATCAGTTTGATAGTTACACAGAGGACACTGCAGACATGGAAAGAGAAGCAAACATTTTTCTCGATGAAGCTTAGAGTAGCTTCAACAATGCTCAACCTCTCCTAAATACATGTTACACTACAAAAGATCCAGGGAGAAGGTAAGTGATATTTCTCTGATTTACCTTTTATGTATCAACTTACTTCTTGTGATTTCTGAACTTATATATGTGATCTTCTAATTGTTATTGAAGGTTCTTCACCTGTGAGAATGTTGATGATGGAGAGATGCATGTTCACAAGTGGTGGGATGTGGCTGTTATGGAGGAGATAAGAGAAAGGGCCATATTATATGAAGTGTTGACTGAGAAGTTAGATTACTTAACATTCTCGCATGAGTTGGACCTTAACCAGGTGAGAGAACAAGATACTAAAACTGATGAGAAGGTTGTGAGCCTTGAGAAGATTGTTGATGAGTTGCAGAAGAGTAGTTTACATTAAGAAATGAGTTGGTAGTTGGTCTCGGCTTAACTCTATTGGTCTTATTTGTGTCGCTAGTTATGTTAAGTGTAATAGAGATTATAAACAAGATATGATACTTTCGATTATTGTATGCTTGCTTTTGGATTATTGTGATTCACATGTTTTTGGTGTTATGTGAAAGTGGAAAGTGAATCAATCACATGCATTTGATGTGATTATTTGTGACTGCTATGTTTTGTTGTTATTCTTCACATGACTTTGTTAGTTTGTGAACAAAGATTTGTATATAAACCATGGTAAGCTTTGTCTCTCTTCTCACAACCAAATTTTCTTAAAAACACAATCGTTTTCATTACAAAAGCTATCATCTCTCTCATTTTCTCCTAATCGTTTCTATATTCACCTTTTAAATCCTCAACTTTCTATCTCTCATTTTTTATGGCATCTTCTTCCAACCATTTTTACTATCATCATAACTCTAGTAATGATGATAGTTTTGACGAATATTACCAAGAGCTATTTGATAATCAATTAGATGCTACAACAGAGGATATTCCGGCCGAAAGGAAAAAACGTACATATATGGAAAGAAATCGGGAAAAGGGCCATGCACGTTTGTGGAACGATTATTTTAGTGAAAATCCGACTTACCCCGAGAAGCTTTTTCGAAGACGGTTTCGAATGTACAAATCATTGTTCATGCGTATTGTGAATCATATCTCTACAGAAGTTCCATATTTTCAACCAAAAAAAGATGCAACATACTGAAATGGTATATCACCGCTCTAAAAATGTACTGTAACAATTCTACTATTACCATATGGGGGTGGAACGGACACGGTTGACGAATATATACGTCTTGGTGAAACGACAGCTCGTAAATGTTTGGAACATTTTATCGTGGGAATTGTTGACTTGTTTGGCGATGAATACGTAAGACGCCCTACACCAGAGGATCTCCAAAGGCTACTCTATATTGGAGAACAGCGGGGTTTTCTAGGAATGGATGGAAGCATCGGTTGTATGCATTTGAGGTGGAAGAATTGTCCAACCGTGTTGGTGATGGGGTTCGGCGATTAAAGCCCATTAATGACAGGCCCAATCCGAACGGGCAAGTTTGTGCTAAAGGGCCGTGGAGTTAATGATTATTCGAGAAAGCAGGGAGATCGAGCGGAGATCGAGGTGGTTTCAGGAAAAGGATCAGAAGATGTAGGATGTTAGTTCGATTAATAGATACGATGTAATAGTATAAATAGAAGAGTGAGTAGATTGGCAAGGACACATGTACTTTAACAGACCTAATACAGAATTCTAAGTCCACTTTCTACGCGATCCCGATATTCAATTGATCCACTTTTGCGAGTCTAGCCCAAAATCCCATTTTGATCTTCTCATTTACTTTCTTAATATTGTGAGAGGTTTTTAGCACCCACAAACCGCTTGGTAAGGAATGTATTCACGAGGAATCGGAAAACCAACAATTGTTTTGGAGGCGCTTGCTTCACAAGATCTCTGGATATGGCACGCGTTTTTTGGAGCGCTAGGTACTTGTAACGATTTAAATGTTCTTGATCAGTCACCAGTATTTAATGAAATTATACAAGGTCAAGCTCCCCAAATGAACTAATATGTCAACGGAAGGGAGTATAATTTGACTTACTATCTTACGGATGGTATTTTTCCCGATTGGGGGACATTTATTCAATCCATTCGACTACCACAATGCCCGAAACATACTTTGTTTGCAAAACGTCAAGAATCTGCACAAAATGATGTTGAGCGTGCATTTGGAGTCCTTAAAACTAGATTCGCCATGATAAAAAATCCATATTTTTATGGGAAAAAGGCAAAATAGCATATATTATGAAAGAGCATGTCTCATACTCCATAATATGATTGTTAAAGATGAACGCCATTCATACACTCTCTTTGACGAAGAAGAATTCCAAGAAGGTGCCCCGGATCTTACGTTTTCAGACGATATGGCTACAAATCTCGAGGGTTTAGGTGATCATCGCAGAAGAATTCGTGATAAACAAGCACATCATCAATTGAAGGAGAATTTGATTGAGAATATATGGACTAAATTTAGACATCTTTCAAATGATTAACAAGGTTTATACATTTTGTATAAATCTAATAAAATGTTTGTGTGCTTTAATTAATATGTTTACATCTTTTTGTGTTTTTCATTTTTATCTTCATTGTTTTTTTTGTTATTAATAATTTTGAATTGTATTTTCTGTTTCTTTTTATTTTCAAATAAATTTTATGTTTATTTTTTATGTTTTCAATTTAAAAGTTATTTTTTTAATTTTAAAAATTTTAAAAATGTTTTACATTATTAAATTATTTAATTTTTAAGATTCTAGAGGTTCAACCAATAATCAACTCTATAACTTTAGTCCTTAACTTAACCTTTTACATTATTATAATAATGTAATTGAGCAATACTTGGGTTCACCCCTAGGGGCAAACCTCCTCATTCATCCCCTATTAGATTAACCAATTAAAATGAAGTAATTTGCCACGTCATATTATATATAAAAATAAATCAAAACTAAAATCATTAAAACAAAATAGATTAAACAAAATCTGTATAATATAACCATTCTTTTATAAACCTAAACCGAAATAGAATTTCGCTTAGTTAAAAAATCTAAACCCAAACCAAAATATAATTTTGTTTAATTACAAAGTCTGAACCCTAACCATTATTTTGTCAACCCAAACCGAAATATAATCTCGTTTAATTACAAAATCAAAACCCTAACCACTATTTTGTCAACCCAAACCGAAATATAATTTTGTTTAATTACAAAAAATCTAAACTCTAACCACTATTTTGTCAATCCGAACTGAAATACAATTTTGTTGATGTATAAAATCTAAACTCTAACTACTCTTTTATAAAGCCAAACCAAAATATATAATTTCCTTAATAAAAAGGGACAATTTTAAAACTACCCTTTTTGAGGATCACATTTTTAAAAATACCCCAGTAGGGAGAGCATTTTTAAAACTACCCCTGTTTTGGTGCAAAAAGACGATCTGCCCTCATTTGTTTTAACCTAAAAAATCTCTTCTTCACCAATCTCTCTCTCGACGGCAAAAACCCGACTCATCTCTCTCTCGACGGTGATGGTGACTCCGACTCTGACTCATCTCTCTCTCGACGGCGACGGCGATTCATTGATGTTGGTTTATGAGAATCCTAGTTTACAGTTCATCCCGTCGCCGACTATACCCCAGTAGGGAGAGCATTTTTAAAACTACCCCTGTTTTGGTGCAAAAAGACGATTCTGCCCTCATTTGTTTTAACCTAAAAAATCTCTTCTTCACCAATCTCTCTCTCGACGGCAAAAACCCGACTCATCTCTCTCTCGACGGCGATGGTGACTCCGACTCTGACTCATCTCTCTCTCGACGGCGACGGCGATTCATTGATGTTGGTTTATGAGAATCCTAGTTTACAGTTCATCCCGTCGCCGACTATCTCTACGTTCCTTCAAGCCCCTGAATTTATTGTTCTCTGTCGTGATTCATTGTGCTTGGTCGTGGTGTGCTATGGCGAGATGAAATGTGCTCTGCTCAGTTCGACGTGGTCTGGTAACTCACTTTCAGCATCTCGTCAAGCTTAGCACACGTATTCGCCTAGATTCTCCTATTACAGTAAGATGCTGGAATTGGTACTTTTATATACTTTTAGTTTGGATATAATCTGGATTTGAATGTTATAGACAAGTAAGGTTTAGTGAAGGTATCATATTTAAGAGATCGACTTCAGTATGGCCAACATCTCTAATACGGTCTGCATTTGTTAGTTTGCTGCATATTTCTATGATTTTACAGAAGGATGTTTGTAAGTGAAGATGTTTTGCATCTGCACTCGAAATCAAATGGAAAAGATAAGGCATGTTTTTAGTAATAGCTGTAGGATATGATATTATTAAGGTGGTGGAATTGAATGTGTGTGATTTCCAATATGATTAGTTCATAGCAAACAATTTGTGAATTTGCAAGAAAACGAAAGGTTGTCGTCTTCAGATAGGAAGAACCATCTCAGTCCGAGATATTCATAGCAAGGGTACGAATCTCCAGCTGCAAGACACTAACAAGGTACTGAGGTAGTGAATGTTTCATTGGTTTCATTTCCTGGCCCTATTGTATAATCAACTATACAAGCTGTGAATGAATTATATCTAGATATATTCATGGTTTGTGTTGCAGGATTACTGTTGGATATTAGAATTTTGGAATTATTCAAGAAGCTTCGAGCTCTGTTTTTAGTACTCGACCAAGAGGAGTGGAGACATGTGAGAGCCAGCCTTGAGTACACTGGTGGAGAAGTAAGAAGTGCTGGTAGAAAGCGGTATATCTAACGATAGTTTCAGACTAAGAAACAAACTCATGTGATAAGAAAATTGGTGCTTAAGTTGAAAATATGCTTCTTTGTTTGTCATCTAGTGATTATGTATTTCAAGTACAATGTGTGTGTGACCTTTTTTTTTTAGTTTGTTAAAGGGCTTATGATTAAAGTGTGTATGGATTTATAACATTTTAATAAGAAGAAACTAAGGATATAGAACATCTTTTTAAAACCTTTTATAATCTGTATACAAACTTTTAAAATCATGTAAAATTTAATTTAGTAATTTTGCAAGGTTTTTATGAAGATTTTATAAGGCTTTTATATGGTTTTAAAAAAGTTTTGAAAAGTATTTCTTTTACAACGTATTAAAAAGGTTTTACAAAGTTTTATAAGGTGTTGAAATGAATACTAAGGTATTAAAAACTATTTAAAAGTTTTTATAAGGTTTTATAAGGCTTTTATTAAGATTTTATAAGGCTTTTACAGGGTTTTTAAAAGTATTTAAAAGGTTTTATAAGGTGTTTAAATGTATATTAAAGTTTAAATAATAATTTTTAAAAGTTTTACAAGGTTTTTATAAGGTTTTCCAAGGCTTTTATACAGATTTTATTAGGCTTTTATAAGGTTTTTATAAATATTTTATAAGGGTTTTAAAAGTATTTAAAAGGTTTTATAAGGTGTTTAAATGTATATTTAAGTTTAAAAAATAAATTTTAAAAGTTTTACAAGGCTTTTATAAGGTTTTACAAGGCTTTTATACAGATTTTATAAGGCTTTTATAAAGTTTTATAAGGCTTTTATAAAGTTTTTAAAAGTATTAAAAAAAAATTACAAGGTTTTTTAAGGTTATTTTTTAAAAGGGCTTTCAATTAAAGACTTATGCCCAATGGCTTACATATTTCCGGAGTATGCCCATACAATAACCACGATGTAGCCGCCGTCCAAAGACTACAGATGTAGCCGCCGTCCAAAGACTACAGATGCACGCCGGATCAGGACCTCCGGTGTGCCTGGATGACGGGGTCAAAAGGAGTAGGTGATCAAAGCTTTTATAAGGTTTTTATAAGGTATTTATAAGGTATTTAAAAACTATTTAAAAAAAATTACATGGCTTTTATAAAGATTTTATAAAACTTTTATAAGGTCTTTATAAGGTCTTTATAAGGTTTTAAAAAGTATTTAAAAGGTTTTACAAAGTATTGAAAAGGTTTTACACACGGTTTTATAAGGTATTTAAATGTACATTAAGGTCTTTAAAACTATTTAAAAAAAATTACAATGCTTTAATAAGGTTTTTATAAAGATTTTATAAGGTTTATAAGGGTTTTATAAAGATTTTATAAGGCTTTTATAAGGTTTTCAAAAGGAGTTTTAAGAAACGTTTTACAAAGTACAAAGTATTTAAAAGGTTTTACAAGGTTTTATAAGGTGTTATGTATATGAAGCTTTTTAAAACTATTTAAAAGGTTTTACAAGGCTTTTATAGGGTTTTACAAAAAAAATTATAATGGTTTTATATGGGTTTTATAAGGTTTTTAAAAGGTTTTAAAGATTATTTAAAAATTTTTACAAAGTATTTAAAAGGCTTTATAAAATAGTTATATGGCTTTAACAAGTACTTAAAAAATTTTACATGAAATTGTTATATATGCTTCTCGTTAACAAACAACAATTCGCATAAACTGGTATGATTTTTAAAAACAATATTTATAAGGTTAAAAACAATATTTATAAGGTTAAACTGTTTTATAATCTTTACAAAAAGCTTTTAAAGATAATAATTTTTTTAAAAAAAAGTCTTTTAAAAGTTCTATTATCTTTGAAAAACCTTGTAAAGTATTTTTAAAACCTTTTAAAACGTGCTAGTGCTACTCCTTCATTTTTGGTTTCATACATACTGTACATGTGAGCACGCTTTTTTCAAAACTTCTAATGTATATTACTAATAAACATATTATATATTCAAAGATTGTTATTAAACAAGTACAAAATCAAACCAATTCATCATCATGTGAAGTGAATGTGGTGACAACTCACGAAGAACCGGAAATCGGGAGTGAAGATGAGGACACAAGTGTTACAGTTTTGAAGTGTTTTTCAAGTGAAAGCCAACGAACATGTTATAATTATATACAAAAACTCTTCACTCCTAATCCTGTGTATTCACTTCTCCTTCCTCACGTGGTACTCCTTCATTCAAATCACAAAAGAGATTGCTACCTTCTTCATAACTTGTTACTGCAGGCTGCAGTTCTTTACTGTAACAATCAATAATATCACGGCAAACAAAATCATATAAGCAACAAAGCTTTGAAAACGAGAAATCCAATCCAATCCATGCCCACCATTGTTAGTCTTCAACCCAAGAATCTACCATTAACTTCTTCAAAAACCCCATCAACCCCACAAATCGAACTTGAATCAAACAATCAAAATTCAATTTCAAGCTATCATTGAATTAGAAAACACATGTCTGTCTCAATGGATGCTCTTCTAAATTAGATTAGAACGTACTCAGATACCACAAATCAACAATTCTTGTTTATTTGCTTCAGATTTCAAGCTGATTTTCAAACCCTTGAGCCAATTTTTTTCATTAAATAAAATCAAAACCTTAACAGATTTCAATGAAGCCAACTAAAGAGTGAATCAAGCTCTAAATCGCATGAAAATAATCATGCTAGAAGAAATCAATACAAGAGGGGTGAATCAAGTTCTAAATCGCTTGAAAATCAAGCTTTTATTCGCGAATTTAGATCTAGGGGCAAAAATGACGAATGAAACAGAGAAGAGAACATGAGGAAGCAAAAACAAGGATTAAAGCATGATACCTGAATCTGGACTCGACCACAATTTTGAACGATTTCAGCGTGAATAATCTCTTGTCTCTATGGATGATTGATTTTGAGATGAGGCGATTTGGAGTTGAGAAACGAAGGCGAGATAGATCCTAGCAACAAAGAGTTCTCCAATTTCAACAACGACGAGATCGACGAATGACAGATACGGGAACAACAATCTTCCATAGAGAAAGAAACAACGATGGCGAGTTCCGAATTTTGACGACGGTAAAGCATACGGAGACGGCAATCTGAGAAAAAAAAAACAAATCGGTGATTGCCAGTTTTGAGAAGAAAGGTTGAGTAAGAGATGAGGGTAGAATAGTCTTAAAAGATTAAAGAAGGGTAAATTTCAAAATGGCAAAAAATAGGAGTATTTTTAAAAATAAGTAATCCAAAAGGGGTATTTCTAACAAATTCTCTAATAAAAATCCTACAATTTTGTTTCTTTAATTTGTTTTTTTTTTTAAAACACTTCAGCAACTTTATTAATAACTTGGTAGTAAAAACCAGAATTGAAAAAAACAGAGGAGCTTGTAAAAAGCTGAAACATAAAAATGCAGACACCAAGCCTCAACCGCTACCACGACGTTCTTGCTCAATCCTATCCAACAACCAAGCCGGGCCGTCCAAAGCAACATAAGAAGTGAGGCGTCCATCTCTTGTCACACTCCTCGCAATGTCAGAGACTAAAGAATTGGCTTTCACATGTGACAACCTAAACTTCACCTCCCCCATAAAATGTAAAAGCTTAGAAATTATTTTCAGTTGAGCCCGATACTTAGACCAGAGCAAAAGAAATTGTTTTATTTTATTATTTATTTTTGATATGTGGCATATTGTTATATTTTGATTGGCTATGGAGTTTCAATTGTGCCGCAACTTATATATTTTTAACTTTTTTTTTTTTCAATGGATAATAGACACGTTGCATCTTTTATTCCCACCATTGCATCATGAATACTCTTTCCCTCCATTTACTCATACCGAACCCTATCCTCCTCAAATCCCCACGCGCCGCCTCACAATTCATTTCACGCGCCACCGTACCTTCATCTCTCCGCTTCGTCTCTACGTTAAATCCACGCGCCGCTTCTTCCGACGAGTCACAGTCAATCGAAACCCAAACTCTCGACGTCCTCGAATGGCGAGCTCTCTGCAATCAGCTCTCTCCCTTCGCCTCCACATCCATGGGTCTCTCCGCCACCAAAAACGCGGAGATTCCGGTGGGAAATTCGCCGGAAGAGAGTAGGAATCTCCTTGACGAGACGGCTGCTGCGTTGGCGGCTATGGAGATGATGGAATCGCGGCGATTAGGTCTTACTGAGATCCAGGACTTGTCTGGTATCGTCGAGCGTGCTGTGGCGGGTCAATTGCTTACTGTTAGAGAGCTTTGCACTGTTCGCAGCACTTTAATGGCGGCTACATCAACGTTTCAGAAACTTCGAGAAGCAGCCAATAGTGATAATCGGTATAAGCAGTCTTATCCTCTAATTTCATGATTTGTGGTTTGCTCATATGAAGTTATGTAATGTTCTTGTCATCTTGTAGGGTTACTCCTCTTGTAGAAATACTTCAGGCTTGTGATTTCAAGGATACATTGAAGCAGAAGATTGGTTTTTGTATAGACTGCAACATGTCTATGGTTCTTGACAGAGCTAGTGAAGATTTGGAGATTATAAGATCTGAAAGGAGGAGGAACATGGAGAATTTGGATTCTCTGCTGAAGGAAGTATCAACTATGATTTTTCAGGCTGGTGGGATTGACAAGCCTTTGATAACGCAGCGCAGATCAAGGATGTGCGTAGCTATTAGAGCTACGCGCAAAAGTTTACTTCCAGGTGGTGTTGTTTTAAGTGTTAGTAGCTCAAGGGCAACATGCTTTATTGAACCAAAAGAAGCAGTTGAGCTTAATAACATGGAAGTGAGGTATGCGAACGCCGAGAAAGCTGAGGAAATGGCAATTTTGAGCATTTTAACATCTGAAGTGTCTAATGCGCAGAGTGATATATTGCATTTGTTGGATAGAATACTAGAACTTGACATTGCGTTTGCAAGAGCATCACATGCAAAATGGATGAATGGTGTATATCCCAACCTAACTTCAGAACACAGTAAAACACTGGACTCAGATGGAGACCATAAATCTTTAGCTGTAGACATTGAATCTGCACAGCACCCGCTACTTCTTGGTTCAGTATTAGGCAGCCCAAATGATGGAAACATTTTCCCTGTGCCAGTAGACATTAAAGTTGAAAGCAGTGCCAAAGTAGTCGTCATCTCGGGTCCAAACACAGGAGGAAAGACTGCGTTATTAAAGACATTGGGATTAATATCTCTTATGTCGAAGTCGGGGATGTATCTGCCTGCTAAGAATTGCCCTAGGTTACCTTGGTTTGATCTTATTCTGGCTGACATCGGGGATCCCCAGGTATTATGTTACAAATTTCTTGCAAAGTAGCACAAGCTACTAACGTGTTGATTTATCTCTGTGTCTAGGTTTACATGCTACTAACTTTGTTGAGAGCAATTCTAAAAGACCTAATATTAATTTTTAGTTTGAGTCACATATATTTCAAAATCCCTGTGTGTTTCTCTTTTCTAAGTCCTGCTTGATCTCTTGCAAAGATTCTCTGTTCAAATTTTTTATGTTTCAAACTTTTATTTGCAGTCTTTGGAGCAGAGTCTCTCAACCTTCAGCGGCCACATCTCACGAATACGTCTGATACTTGAAATTATTTCAGAAAATTCGCTTGTCCTACTAGACGAAATCTGTAGTGGAACTGATCCTTCAGAAGGGGTTGCACTTGCTACCAGTATCCTACGGTATATGAAAGATCGTGTAAATGTGGCTGTTGTGTCCACACATTACGAGGACTTAAGTCGCTTGAAGGATAACGACTCTCAATTCCAAAATGCTGCTATGGAGTTCTCCATGGAAACTTTTCAGCCTACATTCCGAGTACTCTGGGGAAGTACCGGTTTATCAAATGCATTGAGAGTAGCTAAGTCCATTGGATTTAATAGAAGAATTTTAGAGAATGCACATAAATGGACAGAGAAATTAGATCCAAAGCAGGAAGTAGAACGGAAAGGCTCACTCTTTCAGTCCCTTGTGGAAGAAAGGAATAAGCTAAAGCTTCAGATAACCAAGACTGCAGCATTTCACAGAGACTTGATGAACCTTTACCGTGAGGTACTGCTTTTTTCTTTTGCTTTAACATGTGTGATTATACCATGTAGTAATTATAAAAAAGGGTCTTACAGAACATTATGTTTACTTGAGGAACTGAAAACGATCCTTGATACCGGTGTCGAAGTAATGAGTGAAATAATTATGAGGATATTTTTCTGTTGTGTAGTCGAATATCAGTTGTCTAGTCTGGAACATATTTGTGGTTGAAAAATTAAATTTTAAGGTGGTTGAGATTTCCCTTCAAGGGTCCTTTTAGAGGACACATTAGATGGTTTCACTTAATATATCTCCACAGTAAAAATGAAATTTATTAACTTTGTTTTGTTGCTATTGTTAAACTCTTGTAATGTATGTTTTTGTTCCTGATCATTCTCCACTTTCTTATCCTGAAGCTTGAGCATGAGTCGAATGATCTTGAAAAACGTGAGAGGGCTCTTCTGAAGAAAGAAACCCAAAAGGTACAAGAAGATCTAACCTCTGCTAAACTAAAGATGCAGAAATTGGTGTCTGAATTTGAAAGTCAACTAGAAATCGCTCAAGCTGATCAATACAATTCCTTAATTCTGAAAACCGAAGAGGCAGTTGCAGACATTATTGAAGCTTGCTGTCCTAATGATCTTGTAACTACGGAAGAAGCGTACAGTGACTACTCACCTCAAGCAGGTGAAAAAGTTCTTGTAACTGGACTTGGAGATAAGTTAGGTACTGTGGTTGAAGAACCTGGAGATGATGAGACAGTGTTAGTCCAGCATGGTAAGATAAGAGTACGTATAAAGAAAAAGGACATAAAACCCCTTCCGCGTACCACAAGCAGCCAAACATCCAATCGTTCTCTACGTTCTAAGAGACAGGTATACATCATTTTGTGGTTTTAGACTTTTCAGGTCCCATTCTTGCAGTATCTCATTATTATAGCTAAGTTACCTAACCATATTGGTATGTCATCATAAATTCTAGCTTGACGAAAACTGCACCATGAAAATGAAGATAGTAATAAAGTTGAGAGTTACTGACAATGAGAATGGTACTTTGAATCCCTAAAGACTTAATCACCTGATTTAATGAGTGTTTTATTGTAGCATAACATCCGAAACAAGCTCAACGCTCCGTAGTTGAATTACAATTTTAAAAATTTGTGACCTGACAGTAATATCTTGATTTGAGTTCTAACATCAGTTCTTTGTGGTATCTGATACTTGCACAGATAAACATGAAAGAACTAGGAAGTGTGTTGCAGATGCAGAGTGAACCAGTGCGGATTCAAACATCAAAGAACACATTGGATCTAAGAGGAATGCGGGCGGAAGAAGCGGTTCACCAGCTAGACATGGCCATCTCGGGAAGAGACTCGGGATCCATCCTCTTTATCATTCATGGAATGGGGACAGGTGTTATAAAGGAGCTGGTGCTTGAGAGGTTAAGAAAGCACACTCGTGTCTCAAGGTATGAACAGGCAAATCCTATGAACCACGGATGTACAGTTGCTTACATTAAATAATCTCTCTCAAACACATTCTTTGTAAATCTTCTTCAAAAGTTAATGTCTTCGAAAGCAATGTCCACAAACTAGTTTCGTTTGTGATGAATCAACGTTCAAATGTACAAGAATTCGTGTAAAGTATAGATATTGATATTGTAAATATAGTAATTCTACTTTACCACAAACATCATTGGTTTCGAAGATACCATGCGGACACGAGTACCTCGAGATGTACGCAATGATGGCTATGGCTACAATACTTGAGGTAGCGAAGATGGATGAAGTTAGTGGCCGATTATGATGTTGATATCGAATATCATTTGGGTAAGACAAACCTTGTGGCCGATGCGTTAAGCCGGAAAAGAGTTGCTTCAAGTACTGAGAAAGAGATGGAAAGATTGGTTAACATGGTTGGAACCTTGCGCTTGGAAGCGATATCGGAAGAGTTAGAGCTTTTAGGTTTGGATGCCGCGGATCAAGCCGATTTATTGACTCGTCTTCGGATGGCACAAGAAAAAGATGAGGAACTCATTAAGTTATCGAAGAATGACAATATTGGTAATGGGACGATATTAAGTTTCAGACTTCGAGTAATGGGACGATATTGGTAAAGGACCGTGTGTGCGTTCCGAAGGATAAGGAACTTTGAGAAGAAATTCTCAAGGAAGCACATCAGTCTATGTTTTCCATATATCCGCGATCAACAAAAATCTATTGCGACTTGAAAATATATTATCATTGGCAAGGTATGATAGAGGATGTCGCTAGATGGGTAGGTTCTTGTCCGACTAGTCAAAGAGTTAAAGCAGAACATCAAGTTCCAGGAGGACTGTTCCAAATTTACCGATTCCCAAATGGAAATGGGACATGTTAACCATGGACTTTGTCTCTGGATTGCTTGTGTGCGAGGAGACTGATTCAATTTGGGTTATTGTCGATCGATTAACGAAGTTTGCGCACTTTCTGCCGATGAATAAGAAAGATGGAGTCAAGAAGCTTACAAAGCTTTATGTGGAGAATATCGTTCTGTATGATGGAGTACCGACGAGCATAGTATCGGATCGTGACTCTAAGTTTACTGCTGGATTTTGGAAAGCTCTTCAAAAGCGATTTGGTACAAGGCTGAACATGAGCATAGCTCATCATCCACAAACGGACGGGCAATCCGAGAGAACAGTCCAAACAATTGAGGATTTGTTGAGAGCGAGTGTTCTGAATTGGGGTGGAGATTGGACTAATTACTTGCATTTGGCGGAGTTTACTAATAACAACAATTATCAAGAAAGCATTAGAATTTCACCATATCAAGCGTTGTATGGTAGACCTTGTCGAACACCGTTGTGTTGGACACAAGTGGGAGAGCAAAGTGTCTATGGTCGAGACTTTGTGGAGAAAACGACCGAGAAGATCAAAGTGTTGAAGGTTAAAATGAAAGAGGCCCAAGATAGATAAAAGAGTTATGCCGATAAGCGTCGGCGAGAGTTAGAATTTCAGGTTGGAGACATGGTTTACCTTAAGACGGTTACTTATAAGGGTGAAGACTGTGCATCCGTGAACACAAAGGTAAAGGTACATGGGACTGTACTAATTTCTGGAAAGATTCGGAGCAGTGGCTTATCGACTTGAATTGCCTCCAGCAATGAAAGAGTTTCAAAAAGTGTTTCATGTGTCTATGCTAAGGAAATGCATAACACCTCGGGAGAATGTCTCATCATAACTTCCAGCGCATTAGCAAGCAAATTTGACTATTGTTGGAAGACCGGTTCGAATTATTGGAAGGAAGGTGAGAGTAGATTGGAAGAAAAAATTTAAGTTTATTCAAGTTGTGTGGGATTGTGATGGAGAAGAAGAGACTACTTGGGAACCAGATGAAGTAATGAAGGTAAATTTTAAGAAATGGTTTGAGAAGCGAGAAGTTTCAAAATAGAAAGCTTAGATTCGAGGACGAATCTATTTTAAGTAGGGGAGAGGTGTAACGCCCGTCTCCTACAAAGTTTAGCCGGTACTGGACATCCCAATGGTCGAGGGAAACTAAGTTAGTCGAAGAATTCAGCAAATGGTCGAGGTTTTATTGGTACATCGAAGTTCATCAAGAAAGATCGGTATAAGCTGCTTGAAATCCGAATGATCGAAGGAAAAGTGGAGTGTTCGGACAATCATTTGATTGGTTCGGACAATAAAGGACTTTTGAACAATTTTGTCGGAAGATTACCGATAATTGGGTGGTTATCGGTCCGTCTATCGGGAATCTATCGAGCGGCTATCGGTGATGCGAAGATCCGCGTGTTATTTTTCAACCCGATTTGGTAATCTGCGTGTTGGTAAGCCGAGATACGTGGGATTGGATTTTCTTGATGGTTGTTCGTGGAAACGGATAAAATCTTGAAGAATATCAGAATAATGGATATTCCATCAAATATTTTCGAACGATCGAGAATTTTCTCGAGCATATAAAAGGGACTATTTGTTGGCGTTTACATGCATAAGCACGCGGAAGGCGATTGGCAAGCTTTTCATCGAGAAAGTTAGAAGTTTGTTGAGAATCCGTGATTAAGGTCGAGAAGATCGAGTAGTTTCTCGAGAATCTAGGTAAGTATTGACTAAACTCTGTGTTTATTGATAGTTTACCGAGTGTCGTCGGTAAGGGAGTATTGATCAGTGTTGTTTGCATAGATCTGTGTATTTTACGAGTGTTTGTTGGATCCGTTCGAGTGAGTTAAGCGATAAGAGGTGTCAGGAAGTCAATCCGTGTGAAAAAGGTGAGAGCGTGACTGTGGCCGAGTCTTGAGCCGTTTTATTGATTGATTCATTGATGTTGCTTGCTTGTCATGATTTATATGTGTTATCGCGATAATGTCTTGATAGTTAATCGATGGTGGTTTTGATAATTATCTCAATGGTATGTTATGTTTATGACTTGCTTGTTTGACTTCTTGAATCGATAAAAATGAATGTGATTTCTTGACTACGCCTAGTGAGACGGGATGCCTAATCCACTAAGCAAATTTGTTTGCTTACGCCTCTTTTTGGACGCAAGAAATGGAAATAATCTAAGTGGCTGAACCAGTTTGTGAGACGAAGGCGAGGTAAGGGAAGGATGGTGGATTGGGTAGTTTTAATAAATCGGTCTAGTATGTTAAAAACGATGTAATAGCTTATTAGCAAACTTGTCGTTTGTACTAGAACCTTATTTGGAAATTCAAGTGATTGATTTTGCATTATTGACTTGTCTATCGATCTTATGAGCATATGTTAAGTTTTATCGAAATGAACTTGAACTTGGATGAAATTTTGAAAATTTGGGTTAGGGTCACTACAAGAAAATTACGTATTAATTGCAACTGAAAACGCTATTTATTGATACGATAGCGTTTTGTTAAACGCTATATCATCGACCGCGATCGAAAGTCTTAGACTTTTGATAGCAGTTTTGACATGTGCTATGGTATATTCTTTTAATATAGCAGTTATTGTATGCAATGTATTATTTTACAATAGCATTTCGTAAATGTCATGCATATGTAAAACGTAGCAATCGTAAAATGTTATCTATAGAGATTAAACATAGCAATTTGCAAATGTAATTTATTTCGGTTTGTCGATTACATATTTTTATTTTATTAGACCATAATTTAATTTAGTTTAGACCATAATTTAATTTAATTTAGACCATATTATTATTCATTGTTCATATTATTATAAATAAAAGACCCTCAGTTGAAGTTTACAAACCATTGTTCACATACAAAATATAAAGTTGAAAGTAAACCATACAATTAAATAGATAATTTAACCAAAGTTCATATTTAGATTAACTAACACCTTCAGCTTCTGCCTCTTAGTTTCGACGATGCGACTTGCCTCTTGAGGAGTCTCCTTGTTCCTGTTTTGGTCGTTTCATTGCAGCGGAGAGTTTTTCGTGTCTAAGCCTTTGTTCTTCGTTTCTGAGGTTTTGGAGAAGTCTTCGGAACTCAGGTTAGATGTCTTCTTCGTCTTCCTCTACCCGTATGAAGCTGTTTATACAACACCAAATCTCCACGACCAAGTATATATACATATAAAGTAAGAACATGCAAGTAGATCAGTTAGAGACATAATGTAAACACTTAACCATCCAACACAGAGAATAGGAGAAGAAATTAGTGAAAATTAGTGAATGACTCACCTGATAAATTTGTGTTTTCCTTTGTTGATTGCAAACCCAAACTGCAAAAAATTGAAAGCATCAACAGTTTCAACCCGAAAAACAAACTTCTAACTCGATTGCGAATTTGAAACAGTGGCTAACACAGATTCAAAAGGAAATCGATTGCAAATCGATAGAAATAATGGCTCAAAAGCACATATTCAAATGGAAATCGACTTAATTTTACATACCTCTGCAACTATTAAAGTGATGAGAGTGAGCGACAATTTAACTGCAGAATTGAGATTCAACACGAATTAAGGTTTTTGGGTGATAAAGGAAACTGATTCGAGATAAAAACTAAGGTTTCAAGTGGGTAATTAGGATTTTGAGCTCAAAAGGATTCAAAGACTTCGTGAGAATTGTATCGAACTCAAAAGAGAAAAAGATGACCTTTGATTGTTTTCCCCCTTTGTTATTTTTAGAATTTCTCCAAAGGCGGGGACAAAAAAATAATAATCCCGCGACACTATCAAATAGCGTTTTCAAATATTAATGCTATCTAAAGACAAACGCGAAAACGAAAACACACCCGTGTATTCAACCATAGCATTTTCATTTTTATAAACGCTATCTATTTTTAGCGGTTTAGTTAAAGATAGCATATCTTACCAAAACGCTATATTATTGTGCTATTAATACTCAGTTCTCTTGTAGTGGGTCTTTCAAGTCCCGAGTACAGAAAATAGAGTTTTAACTTTTTTCAACTCTAAATGTAATGTAAGAATCTCTTATTTATATGTCTGTTAATGAACAAAAAAAAAATATCCATCAAAACACTGTTAAAAAAGTCAACATTTACCGTTAAATCAAAACGCCTCACTTAGAGTGGAAACAAAAACGACACGTGATTTCTTATGGCACATCCTCCCATCTGTTAGTGCGGATGAGACAATAATATAGTGCAGAAAATAAACAAGACACAAAGTTTGTTAAAGAGGTTCGGTTTTTTCTACTCCCCGGGACCAATTCCAAATTTCGA